AATGGCATCCTGGGGTGCATTAAGAAGATTCTGAGCCAGCAGATTCTGAGAACCAGAGGAGGTTCTCCTCTCCCTCTACTCTGCCCTGCTGAGGCCACATCTGGAGTAGTGTGTCCAGTTCTGGGCCCCACAGTTCAAGAGGGACAGGGAACTACTGGAGAGAGTCCAGCGGAGGGCTGTGAAGATGATGAGGGGAATAGGGCATCTCTCCTATGAGGAAAGGCTGAGAGACCTGGAGTAGCCTGGAGAAGAGAAGACTGAGACAGGACCTTATCAACATTTATAAATATCTAAAGGGTGGGAGTCAAGAGGATGAGGACAGGCTCTTTTCAGGGGTGCTCAGCAACAGGACAAGGGCCAACAGGCACCAACTGGAGCACAGGAAGTTCCACCTGAACATGAGGAAAAACATCTTTACTCTGAGGGTGGCAGAGCACTGGAACAGGTTGCCCAGAGAGGTTGTGGAGTCTCCTCCTCTGGAGATGTTCGAAATCCACCTGGACGCAATCCTGTGTGACCTGCTGTAGGTGAACCTGCTTTGGCAGGGGAGTTGGGCTAGGCGATCTCCAGAGGTCCCTTCCAACCCCTACCATTCTGTAATTTTGTGATTTAGCTTTGTTCTGATTGACACTGGAGATGGTGACACCTATTTGCAGCCAGAGCTAATAAATTGTTCATCACAATGAGGTTCCAACTCATCTGTCCTACAATGCTCATCTAGGCACCAGGGAACCACTAGGAAAGTTTTCTACCTTCTGCCCTGAATTATTTTGCTATTTGAGTCAGTAACTGTTTCAGATAAACCCTTAGTCTTGATTGGTAACCAGGATCAATTATTTCCACCTCCCAAATTAACACCCTAGCCTCTAGGCTGCAGAGCCAAACCCCCTTGTGCTCGCCCTCTTGGTGTCCTCTTCATTCTCCTTATGCAGCCACCCAGATAATGGGACTCATACCCATGCTCTACCCTTCCTGGATAGGGGCTGTAATCCCTGATAAGCTGCTATTGAAGAAGCTGGCACCTCTTCACCTGGTTGCTGTTCACTTCTTTTTAACTCCAGGCACACAGAAGTACCCATCCGCAGCCTGAAGTTAGGTATGCAAAACATAAGTTGATCAGTGCCACCCAGAGTTGTCATTTCCCCTTGTTTGCTGGTAGGTAGGACTTCATGCTCCTTAATCTCTGCACTTGGGGGCCAGAACACGATCTAGCCAGCCTGGCAGCAGCAGAATTCTGCACAAGCACTTCTGTTGAATAAAACTTACCAGCCTAACTTGGCATACCCAGTGGAGCCATTCACTGAAGCAATGCATAGAAATTAAGCAGAAAAGTCATCATTTTGAGGGAGGGAAGAAATAGGTGGTGCTATTGCTAAGGTTATTCTGCTACTTTCTTGCTTCCTTTGTGGCCTCTATCCTCATCCTGCCCACAAGATACTAGTTCTTTGTAAAGATCAGGTAAAAAGGGGAAAGAAGCAGAGGAGGGAGAAGGAATTGTACTGTGTTAAGATCCATTTACACCTTTTTTTCTGCCACCTGCTCAGTTAAGGTACAGATGAATGAGCACTAGCTCCATAGATTACTGCAAGTCTGGGTACGGCTTTAGGTATTCTGCTTGATGGTAGAGTCTGAGCTGTACAAGCTGTCCAGAAAGAACTTAGCTTGCCCTTTCTTTGTGCTGGTGGAAGGTGAACCATTGCACATTTGACAATCGCACAGCAGTGTTTGTGTGCTGCGCTTGAGAAAGAAAGTTCTGCTTGGAGGCCTTTTGGTTTAGCGTTTGCATCAAGTATCCTGTCCATTAGGCTATATGATTTCTGGATGTCAGCTGTCTCACCTGCAGTCGTTTGTGAGAGCAGACAGAGCGAGGGTGGTTCCACCAACCACGCTTCTTGCCTTGGAAGCAAGAGGTTCCCTTAAAGTTCAGAAATGGTCTGCAGCCTGGGAAATATTACTAATCAGCCAAGAGGCAACTCTTTACCCCCTCAGTGTGGTGCAAAATCTCCCTCTGGGAGTGTTTCCTGGGGAATCCTTGAGCCAGCCCTCAGGGGGTCTTGGCAAATGGCTGGTAACCAATCTGCCTGCTGAGAAAGCTTCTCTACACAGCACCTACTGCCTGGGAGATGCTTCCATACTATGCTGATATGCTACACCAAGAACCCATGTGAAAGAGGTTCTAAAAATTCATCATTTTTTGTGTCACCCTAAATCTCTCCTCTCACTGGTAGAGCCTATGTATCTTCACCTTGTCATCTTTCTTGATGCAAAGATCAGTACATATCTTTACTCTTGTGCATGTAACTGTCCAGCGCTAATAATGTGTTTAGCACCTCCCATATAAACTAATCTTGTCCAGTGCTGACACCTGGGAGCTCTCCTAGCAAACAGCAGCTTTCATCAAGAGTTCTCTTCACAGACAGGGTATTGTTCAGATCTGTGCACTTGTCATGCCAAATGCCTTGGTGAAATATTTGACATGTAACTAAAAGAGCCCTCAAAATACTTTCAGACTGAGCTGTATAAGAAATAATGCCTGGCTTGGATGCTGTGGGGTGTTTTCTGCCGGTCTAGCTGTGTTAAGCAGCTTTGGATTGACGTGCAGAGTGCCGTTTGTGGTCATGGTAGCAAACGCACCATTTTTTATTGGTAAGTAGAAAAAGAGAGCAGGACTCAGATAGGAAGACTAAAGCGGAATTAAAACAGCCTGACGGCGTTAGTCCTTTATGATGTGAGCATTGGATCGTACGCAGCTCCGTCCTGCAGGGAGGGGAGGAGATGCTTGGAGGTGCAGCCTCCTCTGAGCTCCTCCAGGCGGGTTAGGCACTCAGCTCAGCACCCACACTGGGACTGGAGCTGGGCTCTGGCGGAAGGGCAGCTTTTCCCAAAAAACGATGCCTGCTCTAGTTCCACTGCTACGGCATGAAATCTATAAGTGAGAGGGTGGTATGCCAGCGCTTCTGACACTATTCTGGCATCCCTGGTAATTTGGCCATGACGATTAATCATTTATTTAACTAGTGATGACACTTGAGGTGTGCTCAACTGGGTTCTGTCGCCACATTCCCCTGTATCATCCCCTGCAGTTTTCTGTAGGCATACTGTATATATTTGCGTATCTCATGAGCTCTGGATAAGTTAGTGTACCCCAAAACAGCTTGTCGTTAGTACTGTTCTGTGGGACTGCTGAATTTGTCAGCAATTTAAGCAGGTGCAGAGGTCTTCCCCAAACCATCCACCTCTTGACGACCTCTTTTTGTGACACAGTGAGAGCTACCTACTTCTCTGCTGTTAGTCAGCCTCAGAGTAGCTCAACAGCAGCACCATGGAACGTGTGTCTGGAGTGCAGGTCGTGCTACACTAGCACTGACTTAATCCAGTACCTGTATTGTGAGGTGAATACGGGAAGTAAGTTACCAAAAGTTTTTGTATCCCATTTTCAGAGCGTAGTCTTTGGTCAGATAAAATTGACCCTGAATATAGCTTAAGCAATAAGCAGGATTGTCTATAATTCATGTGATGTTCTCTTGGTCTTGGTCTCATGCTGAGGAAAGTACATGGAACTCCTGGGTAGGTAGAGGCTCTGTGTCATGCTAGATATCTAATGCAAGTGCTCCTTAGGGCACGCATCGTTTCTTTGTTTCCTGCATAGTTCAAACGCATTTGGTATTAGCTTTTGTTTGCTTATCAATTTCAGAGGCTCTAAATTTCAGAAAGACCCTTTTGTATAACTGAGAAAGGGCTTAAGCCAGTCCCCAGATCTTTACAAGTAATATGCAGACTTTTATCTTCCTTGCATTAAAGCAAACAAATTATCAGTACATCAGATGAATTTGTTTGAAGCCTGCCTGGTTTCCAGAAGCAGCCTGGCTTGCTGCCATCCAGGAGTACCTTCTGACATGCTGCATAATTCACCTTTGCATGTCTACTGGCAACTGTCTGCTCTGGCAGCAGATAAGTGATTATATGCTTAGCTATAGCATCTGCGCTTGCCTCTCTGTTCACACGGTCTTGCTTCACCTTTTTGTGTGATTAATTTTCAGGGAATAGAAGAGCCCTTCACAGAGTAACATTGGTAAAATACTGAAAGGTCTGTGATTAAAATCTCAAGAGTTAGCAGAGCTGAGAGAAAGCACATCGGCTTTTTGAACTTCAGCTCGCTTATTCTTCTGTCTTAGTAAAAAATCTAGCCCAGGACCCAGCCTTCCTGGTAGGCTTTCATGGGATTCTGGTGGATAATATATGTGAGTGCATCAATATTAATGTGAAGATAAATTAATAATAAATCATGAATAAATGCTCAAAAACCAACTGTAGAGAAGATAAGTGGAGAGCAAAGCGCATAAAAAGGCAAACCACTGGAAAACTGAGGTCACTGTTCTCCCATGTGATAACAGCTGTTCTCTCTGTCTGCTGAAGGCAGAGCAAGAAATTATTGGTCTAATTTGCTGCAGTGATGAAGAAGAGAGTCCAGAGATAACAGGGGATGCTTCCAGTGACAAAGGTGGTTGAGCATCAGAATAAGCGATGTATTTAAGTCTGTGTAATCTACATCACTGGACACCTGGACAGCAGATACAAGACTCTTGTCAGAGTCGGACTAGGTGTGCTCAGTCCTTCAGAAGAGCAGGGTGAAGGATTAGCAACCCATCAGGGCATCAGGAACTTCTGAAAGGTAATAAATTCAACTGCACAGAAAGGATCTGTTTTCCTGTACCTGTTTTAACTTGCATCAGCACTAAAGCAATGTAAATAGCCTAACTTTCTTTTTCAAATTTTTAGGCAGACTTAAGTATGATTGATTTTTTATTTTGCTGGGTGTTAGTGGAAGCTGTCGTTTGCAATGCAGTGTTAACTTGTCCTCCTCTTGCAGGAGTTGGTGTTGATGACATGTTCATCACGATTGCTTCCTGGGAGCAAAGCTCAAGCAAAAAAAAAGAGATTTCCGATGTTAAATCTCTGCTGTCTGAGACTTGCGCAGAAGCAGCACTTTCTGGGAACATCACCACTCTCACAGATGTTTTGGCCTTCTTCATTGGCACCTGGACTGCTTTTCCATCCACAAGACCATTTTGCCTTTATACAGGCACTGATTTTATCTTCTGCTCTGTATTAAATCATAAAAGGGAGCAAGGAAACCAACACTGACTAACTTGTATGCCTGTGAGAGTAGACAAAGATGAGGCTGCTAAGTCCTGCCTCTACAGTGCTTGCTGTATAGGCAACTGTTCTAGGCAGTCATCTCAGCTGGAAACCAAACAGCCAGGAAGCAAACATCCAACGAGCATTTTCTTTAAAAAGTATTATGGTCCTTTTTTTACAAATAAATCGATCAAGCTACTTGTGGTGTTGCTGTTCGGAGCGTATTTGGGTGGCAGTATTTATGGATGTATCAGATCAGGGAAGGCATCGATCTTCAAAGTCTGGCAAGTGATAACTTATGTTATTCCATACTACGATGACGATGACAAATACTTCTCAGCATATGGCCCCAGGGTCGCAGTTGTCATTACTGAAAGTGTAGATTACTGCAATGAAACTGTTCATCTTGGCATTGGGAGCTGCACACAGAATTTAGAGGGCATTTCCTATGTAGACAAGAACCTCTCAAGAGTCATGGCTGAGGGTATACAAAAAACTTGCAAGCAGTGGTTTGATAAAGATAAGCAATAAGGCTCTTTTCATTGATAACTTACCTACACTGTTCCGAATTGTTCCCAGTTTTGAGTGGAACATTAGCAAGACTCAGGATAAAATAGAAGCTTCATGTTTCTTCATCCAGATGGTGAACGTGACTTCAGCCATTGACAAGAAGAATCTTCTCAATCAGTTAAGGGAGACAGCCAAGCAGCGCAGCATTCCATTAGCGGTGTACCACCCCGCGTTCACCTGCTACGACCAGTACCCAGTAACAGCGCAGAACACTGTTCAGAACATTGGTGTTGCTGCCAGAGCAATGCTCGTCGTCTCCCTTTGGCTTATGCCCAACCTGTTGCATTCCTTGTGGGTGACTTTTGCTATAGCTCCTGTTATAGTTGGCATTGCTGGTTTCATGGCATTTTGGATCAATCTAGATTCCATATCCATGACCAACCTGGCCGTTTGTATAGGGTTTTCAGTAGATTTTTCTGCTCATATTTCCCATGCCTTTGTTACGAGCAGAGTCACCAGCCAATAAAAGGGCAATCGAAGCTCTGTCCCTGATGCATTACACAGTATTATGAGGTGCAGTGTCTACTATATTAGGAATAGTTGTCCCAGCTGCAGCAAAGCCTACGTATTTAGGACATTTCTCAAGATCATGTACCTTGTTATTTTGCTCAGGGCTCTTCACGATCTTATTTTTATTCCAGTGGTTTTAACCTTTTTTTGGAAACTTCAGCAAATCACCCCACAGTACAAAATCCAATGACAGATCACTCCACAATACCGAATCTAAGCAGCTAGAGCTTAGGTTTGGAAACTACAAGGACTGTCAGTGACTAAGTTAAATGCAATACATATTTATTATATGTAGATTCAAATGCAGTGACTTTCAGGGAATATAAGAAAGGAAGAAAATGAAGGACAGAAAAATAAATGCAACAGGGAAGGGAAGGCTTCACAAAAGCCAGGCAAGAAAAAGAACAGAAGAAATGAAAACACACAGAACGGATTTGCATTTTCTTGTTGTTTGTGCGTGCTTGATTAACACCTTAATATTGGGTGGTTTTTTTTTTTGGTGACTTCTTTACTGGGTATATTGAAGTTGTTATAAATGCTGACCACTGCATCAGCTTAATGGACTACGTTACAGGTTTGTCAGCCAACGTACACAGGAGGGAAGAATAACCCACTGGTTTGCATTTCCTGCCTGTTTACCTTGAAGCTGCAACTCAGCCTAACACTGAGCCTGAAGACAATTTTCTCCCAAGAGGCTCAAACCTGGAGGTTTTACAGCAAGATCACAAGAGGTCAGAACGGCCTCATGCTGCACTGCCCCATAAGCCTTCAGGAGGCAAAGGCTGCTTAGGCTCTTAATGCAGCACAAGAAGGGAAGATAAACTGACTCACATTTTCTATTCAAATCCCTCTTTTCTTGGTGTCCCATTTTCTTGCATCATGCAGCTGTAAGAAAACTGTGTGTAGCTTCTGGTGGCTGCACCTAGGGAAGGGATATGCTGTAGGCGATTGAACTCATGTGGACCTCCTGTGTAACCACCATGGAAGATGCTGTGCTGTGACACGACAGGGCAAGGAGCCACTAGAGAGAATCAGGCCCTGATTGAGGACAAAGTGAAAAAGCAACTCAGGTTTAAGCCAGTCAGTCCTAAAACCATAAACCCATAAATTCTATTGTGTTCATCAGTGACCACACATTCTGTGATGTGTTGATAGAGTAGAGGAGCTTTCACTGAATGTGAGCTAAAAATGTAGGAAGTGTTCTTTTAACCTGTTGGGATGAGACACCAGATGAAAAGTCAATTCATTATTTGTTGCCAATTTAATGAGCTACCTGTTGGAAATCAAATCAATGATGGTAACTGATGTTTGTAATTTTGGAAAAAATTGGTCTAGGAGTTACTACTATTCAGTCCAAATCTGCAGCTGTGGAGTGTTTTTTCCCAGAGATAGAGCAAGTGCGACAACACCAGGGTCTGCCTCTGTTCCACAAACAGCTGGCAGAAGCCTTGAAAACACCAGCCCTTGTTCTCGTGTGGGACTTCAACTTACCAGACATCTGCTGGAAATACAACACAGCAGAGAAGAAGCAATCCAGGAGTTCCTGGAGTGTGTGTAGGATAACATTACGACACAGCTGGTAAGCGAGCCCACCGGGGGAGATGCCTCGCAGGACCTCCTGTGTACTAACAGAGAGGCACTGGTGGGTGATGTAGTGGTCACAGGCCGTCTTGGGCTTAGTGACCATGAAATGACAGTTTTCAATTTTTGGCAAAGTAAGGAGGAGGTGCAGCAAAACCACTACCATGGACTTCCGAAGGGCAGACTTCGACCTGTTTAGGACACTGGTTGAGAAAGTCCCTTGGAAGCCAGTACTAAAAGCCAAAGGGGTCCAGGAAGCTGGACATTTTCAAGAAGGAAGTCTTAAAAGCACAGGAGCAGGCTGTCCCCATGTGCCGTAAGATGAACTGGCGGGGTAAACAACCAGCCTGGCTCAACAGGGAGCTTTTGCTGGGACTTAGGAGAACGAGTCTACCACCTTTGGAAGAAGGGGCAGGCTACTCAAGAGGAGTATGGAATTTAATCAGGTCATGTAGAATGAACATTAGGAAGGCAAAAGCCCAGTTAGAACTCAGTCTGGCCACTGCTGCTAGAAATAATAAGAAGTGTTTTCACAGATACTTTAACAATTAAAAAAGAGCCAGAGAGAATCTCCATCCTTTATTGGATATGAGGGGGAACATTGTCACCAAGGATGAGGAAAAGGTTGAGGTACTTAATGGCTTCTTTGCCTCAGTCTTTAATAGTCAGACCAGTTACCCTCAAGGTAATCAGCCCCCTGAACTGGAGGTCAGGGATGGAGACCAGAAGAATTCCCTCATAATCCAGGAAGTAGTAGTTAATGACCTGCCAGGCCAATTGGACAGTCACAAGTCTACAGGACTGGATGAAATCCACCTGAGAGTGCTGAGGGAGCTGGTGGAAGAACTTGCCAAGTCACTCTCCATCATTTATCAGCAATCCTGGTTAACGGGAGAGGTCTCGGAAGTCTGGAGGCTTACCAATGTGACATCCGTCTACAAGAAGGGCCGCAAGGAGGATCTGGGGAACTACAGGCCTGTCAGCCTGACTTCAGTACCAGGCAAGATTATGGAGCGGTTAAGC